AGCGCGCTACCTCTTGAGCCACATCCCCAGCCCTCTCCCATCCGCTTTTTATCTCTATGGATTTCCCTGTTTGGGACATTTTACATAAATGGTGTCATGCAGCATGTGGCTTTTTGTGTTTGGCTTCTTTGACTGTGCATAATGTTTTTGAGGCTTGCCTATGTTGTAGCCTGTGTCCGTACTTCATTTCTTTTCTTTGTGTAGTACTAGGGTTTTGTGCCCGCTAAGTAAATCCTCTATCACTAATCTACATCCCCAGCCCTTTTTATTTTTTATTTTGAGATAAGATCTCACTAAGTTGCTTAGGGCCTCTCTCAGTGGCTGAGACTGGCTTTGAGACATTTTTTATTTTTAAATAATAGTACCATATTTTAAATAATCATCATACCATATTACCATATATTCATAAGTATTCCTACAGTTTAGTAATAAATCTTTTTTTTTTTTTTGGTGTCAGAATTGAACCCAGGGACACACTACCATTCCCAGCCCTTTTTTATATTTTTTATTTTGAGATAGGGTGTCTCTAAATTGCTTAGGCTGGCCTCAAACTTGTAATCCTCAGCCTCTCAAGTTATTGGGATGAGACCCTTTCTCAAAAACAAAAAACAAAAGGGTTGGGGATTTTGTCAGTGGTAAAGTACCCCTGGGTTAAACCCCCAGTACCAAAACAACAACAAAAAACTGCCATTTATTAGCTATCATGGTTATTTTAGGATCCTAAGTGGTCAGTCCAGTGAGACTGGAGGGCACAGATTTCACTGGTTTTGATGTTAGGCAGCTGCATAAGCTTCATATCACCCCAATTTCTCCACCTGTGTAATTAGTTGACCCTTGTTACCTGTGGGTTCTTCATCTGCAGATTGAACCCAACATGGATTAAATATGCTAGAAAAAAAATGGGGTCCATATTGAACATGTACAGAATTTCTTTGGTCATTTGTCGGGGGCCACCATGAACAGGTAGGAGTTATACATACAGCTTGAAGTCCTGAGCCAGGAGATACTGGACTGGCATTGCAATGCCTGTCGACTTAACCTCTGCTGGCATAGAAAGGTGCAGCCCTGTGGGTGGGCATTCCCTGATGGGTTGAGTTACACCCACCTGTGTGTTGTAATCCTACCCCTGCCACTTTTTTGGACAGAATGTTCCATCCAGTAGCTCTCCCCAATAAAAGCCAAGCTTCAGGACATGCCCTCTCTCTCTCTCTCTCTCTCTCTCTCTCTCTTTCTCTCTCCAGCCTCTCCTGTTTTTCTTTGCCCACCTTGTGGGAGCTTGAGGCTGGAGGTGGCCCGTAAAAAAGGTATTTTGTGTGTCTGTGGGTGATTTCATGTCACCCGATGGCTTGAGTGACCCCGGTTCGGTAGCCCACGCTGGACAGGGGCTACAGTCATTATTCTTTAATTAGTGTGTTATACAGACGATGTGCACAGCATTTACATTGTATTAGGTATTATAAGAATATGATTTAGGGCTGGGGCTGTAACTCGGTGGCAGAGCACTTGCCAAGCCTGTATGAGGCACTGGGTTCGATCCTTAGCGCCACATAAAAATAAATAAACAAATAAAGGCATTCTGTCCATCTGTAACTATAAAAAATTTAAGTATAAAGAATATGATTTAATGTATATAGGAGGATGGGCATACCTTAAATGTAAATACGGTGTCACTTTATATACGGACTTTAGCATTCTTGGATTTTGGTGTCTTTGGGAGGTTCCTGAAACTCTCAGATACTCTCTCAGATATAGGGGGATGACTAATTATAAATGAAATTGACTGATTAGGTAATACTACCTTCCCTGCAGGCACTGCTTGTATTTAATGTGTATTAAATCATTTCATCTCAGAACAACCCCTGGGTTGGCTATTTTTGTTCCTATATTATAGGCAGGGAAACTTACACTAAGAGATGCTAAGTGGTCCAAGGCACAGTTGGAAGTCCAGCTAGAATTTGGATTCATGCATCTTAGTGTGGTGCTGGCCTGGGCAGCTGAATTCTGGCCTTCTATGCTGACTCTGGGGTTATGATTTTCATTTTATTTTATTTTTTGGTACTGGGATTGAACCCCGAGTTGCTTAACCACTGAGCCACATCCTTAGTACTTTTA